CTCAATTGATTGCAATATCTCTTCAAATGAGCTATGGGGTCTCCGTGACCATCATATTTCTCAAACTTTGGGGTTTTAAAACCAGCAGGCAAATGGACGTGGGGAAACATGCACAAATCACTGAATGAGATGCCTTTGTGCCCCCTAGTCCCTGCATGTCTCTTATACTATGTTCCAAACTCTTCATTTTCCTAGCCATTTCTTCGTGCTCCTCATTCTTAACTGTCTTCTCAATTTTGAAAGGGGAACTATATGGATGAGTCTGGGATAAGAACTTGGAATTTTAAGGGCTTCTTCAGTGGTGTAGCCATGGTCATGAAGAACTTGGGATGAAGGATCATTGTTGGATTTGGGCACCACTGTTGGATTTGAAATGTTATTAGTTGGCGCAGTTGGCACAAAGAGTGGGTTACGTATCATAGGTGTACTCAAGGGGCGCACTGTAGAAGTTCCAGCGACGTTGGATGTGTTAGTGTAGGGGCCGAATCCAGGTGGATAAATTGGATCATTGGTCGATACTTGGATAGGGAATGGCATATTCGCATTCAGGTATTCTCGAATTGAAGATGGAGGAGCTTGCCCATTCATCCAAGCTTCATACATTTCGGCCATCTGTTGTCGCAACATTTTTACCTCCTCCACAGACACCGATTCTTGTGCAACCATTTGACTTTGGACGTCATCATTTCCCGACTCTGTTCCCTCCTTGCGCGTCATCTTCCCTTTCCCTTTTGATCTTGTGTAGTATTGATGAGATGCCAGCTCTAACCACAAACCAACCACCTTAAATTCTTTCTCTCTCTCTCTCTTTCTAAAAAAAACAAACGTGTTAGTGTTTAGTGTTTTGCAAACGATAACCACACGTTGTATGTTATGCACCTAAATTATTTATGTTTCTAAAATGAGTTTCGGAATGCTTTTATGTTTCATCCCGGCTTTGGACGACTTGATTATGTTCTTTTAGTCTCGTATTTTACACATTTGCATTATTTTTGAAACGCTATTTTGATCCGAACCCGTTGGAGGGTTGCCTACGTATCATGTTGAACATGAATCAGATCAGTACGTAGTTCGTGAATTTTTATTTATTTATTTATTTTAGAGTAATATATGTACATGAGTTGACCAAAAGCAAATCATTTTCATTCATTTTCAAATATTCTTAACACAATGATTTGAATAAAACATGAGAATAAAAGTAGCTAAGACTAAGATAGACTCAAAATGATTAACGACAAATTGAAAAAAAGAAAAAAAAAAAAAAAACAACTAATAACTAAGAAAAGAAAATGGACTCGGAAAGAAATCAAATCCTCGGATCTCAATCATCCCCAAGACCCTTATAAATTACTAGCCAAGGCCTTTGGTAGATGTGGAGCAAGAACACGTGCATGTCGGCCAACCTCTCATCATTCTGGTGTAAATAACAAGCATAAACATCATTGAGTGCATCCCTGAGTTGAAGTACTCGATCTCTGGTTTCATTCATAATGTCATAACAATTCTGTAACCAATGTCGAATAGTATTGACTTCATGCGTCAAATTCTCCCTCTGTTCGTGGAGCTCTTCAATTTGAAGGTGGAGTGCATCTCTCTCGGCTATCCTTTGACCTCTATCAACCTCATATTCTGCCTGATAAGCACTGAAACACCTTGCTATTTCCCTTTCCCGTTCCATAGAAGCCTCAACTTGATTCTGGAGTCTGGACTGTGCGCAGATAAGCTGGACCTTTTCTCTTTTATACTCCTCCTCTTGTTGCTCCATAGCACCTGTGACAATGACCAAGTCTTCTTGTAAGGTCAGAATGGTAGAACGATGTTTTCTAACTCTTACTTCAAATATCGCATCACGTTGGGCCAACTCCTCTTTAGCATTCTTCAGGTCATTACTCAGGACATCCAGAGTAGATCTATAGCTTTTTTCAACTTCGAGGCGAGCTTGCTTAATCCTAACCTCAATTTCTGCTTCTCGATCTACAGGTCCTTTCACCGATCCTTCTGGCAATACCTTAGGAGGGGGTTGATCATGAACCCATTCTAAGTATGCTTGGTCCACCTCACCCTTGGTGCGATCCTCCACCCTATCGTGGGGACTTGAGAGCATGCATCCCCACCAAATCTTGAATATCTCTGATTTCCTTAAAGGAATCTCGGGATGAAACTCATACATGAATTCCCGCATATCTTCATTAGGTGGTAAAAACTAGCGTCGACCAAGTTGTCGCATAACTCTAAGTGGCATGTAAGGTTGGACACCTCGAAGACCCATTAGGACGATGAACGATCGAAAGGTAGACATGTATATCACCTCGGCTGATGGAAACCAATGATAATTCCACACAATCTTGTCAGCAGTCAGATTATTGAGGTATTTCTTCCAAGCCTCAATACCCTTCGGAAAACTATGATCTTTGATTCTTTCCTCGTGGCCCCCAATGTAATCATTCCATTCTACTTTGAAGTCCACTACATAAGGGTGATGACGTATGTGCTCAATCATCCATAGTTGTAGTAACATATTGCATCCCTCAAAGTAATCTCCTCCATTCTTGCAAATTGTCAAAGCGCGGTAGATGTCTGCTAGAATCATGGGTACGAGGGTGATATTAGGCTTTTTCTCAAAAGCTGTAATGACTGCAGCCAAATTTATATTGATCTTTCCTCCCCTTTTCGGAAACACCATGATCCCTAAAAAAGCTATTGTGAAGGCATCATAACTGTGTGTTTCCCAGGTCAAACGACACCCGTTATTACGAAGTTTCTTTCCATATAACTCGAACCCATCCTTTCGCCCATATCTTTTGTACAAAAATTCTAACGGAACCCATCCGTAATCAAGGCAACCACCTATTTCATTCTCATTTATGTGCAATAACTCCAAAAACCTCCTACCACTGATATGTTTTGGTATCATAGGTTCTCCTTCGTGAAGATTTTTACCCCTTCCAATGAATGCGCCTATCTCCTCTAGTGTGGGAGTGAGTTCAAAGTCAGAAAAGTAGAATACATTTTTTATTGGATCCCAAAAATGAACTAGTGCTTCTATCAAGTCCCGTCGTGGCTCAACATACAAAAGGCTTCGCAGAAATCCCAAGCGTTTGAACACCACTCCTTTCCCATGATTCGTCATATTTTCATACCATGCCTTCAAAAGTGTCGGAGTCTTATCTAATATCATGACGCGAGGTGATTGGTCCTCCCTTGGCCTCTTATCTCCTTTTCCATATGGATTCATATTTTCCTATATTATGATAATGACAAATTAGGACGAAATATAACACATATTTATTTTTTATAAAAATAAAAATAAAGTAAAAATTATTGTATATAATAGTAAAAACATGATTGGACACTAAGGAGAACAAACCATCACATTTTTTATTTTTATTTTTATCCTAATACTTCTTTATAAAGAAAAAAAATCTCTTATTAAATATTCTGAGTAGAGTTGAAAGGAGAAAACAAAATTAGTATAAATTTCTTTTTCTTTTTTTTTCTAAATAATTATTATTATTAGAAGAGTGATTGAAATAATAATAATAATAATAATAATAAGCACTCAAATCTTTTTTTTGTAGTTAAACCCTTTTTATTAGATAATCTTGCTAGACTTAAAAAAAATAGTATAGTTGGTTTTATTTTATTTTTTCTTAATTTATTTTTACCCTTTTTTTAACAAAAAAAAGATATTAATAATAACTGAAAAAATAAAATAAAAATAGAATCTTATATTTATGAAAGAAGTACAAATTTTGACAAAGTAAAAGTGTTTAATAAAATGAGGACACTAAGACCTTTGTATTTTTATAATTTTTTATTATTAATTCATCCAAAGCCGGTCGACATTTTGTATAGCCTTCCCAATAATGCAACAAGTAGAACAAAAAATATGTGCATGATGGTCTTAAGTGGGGTACTTGTCCTAGAAGGACTCGACCCTTGTGTCGAGCCCATTAATTTAAAAATATGCATGATGGAGATAAATCAGATCCTATTAGGGATAATCATCGCTGAGACTTATTTTACTAAGTTAGCAACCTAAGGGAATGAGTGTCTAGACTGGTTGTAAAACGAGTGGACTACTCGAGTCGGGAAGGGACAACTTACCGATAGCAGGGCTTTCCAGCCTCGCTA